TCTCTGTCTCTCTCTCTCTCTCTCTCTCTCTCTCTCACACACACACACGGAGATGGAAGGAAAGAAAGACCAAGGGAAAGATGGAGGAAACACTGGGGAGGCTGATGACCTCAGGTGTTTTTTTACAGTAACAGAAGCTAACACAGAATGCACTCAAGATTGTTGATCAGTGAACAGAAGCAAGATCGTTTCAATTTAATTTTCCCTTTACAGGTCTGGAGAGATGGCTCAGAGGTTAACAGCCCTTGCAGCCTTTGCAGAGGACTGTGATTCAGTTCCCAGCATCCACTTGGAGCTCAGGACCACCTGTAACTCCAGTTCCATGGAATCCAATGCCCTCTACTGGCTGCTTCAGGCACTGCGTGCATGTGGTACATAGATACATGCAGGCATGTACATACAAAATAAACAAATCTTTAAATTTCCCTTTATAATAAATAATAATAAACTTGAAATGAGTGTCCTTTAACAGATCCTTACTATGCCTGAGGAACTATCTCACTTAATCTTTACAGGAATTTAGGTAAGCATGACCATTCCTGTTTTATGGATGAGTGGTTAAGGAACAGAGAAAATAATAATTTGGTCAGTTTCATACAACTAGTTACATGACAGGGCCAGAATTCTGACCACACCACCTGTGAGCTTAACTGACTTCCCAGTGCCATGGCCATGGGACATGGGGCTTAGATTTGGAAATTTGCCATGTTTTAGGTGGAGCTGGGTCTTGCTTATGACAATGACCTAACAGAGCAGTCATTTTCTTTTCCATGTTTATGTGTGTGCACATGCCAGTGCATGTGTGTGCGTGCATTTGGAGGTCAGAGAGCAACTTGTATGAGTCCCAGGGATCAAACTCAGTCACTGCATTGGCCTCTTCTGCCATCTTGCTGGCTGGGGCACTCATTTTCCCAATTAAGTGGGCTCCCTCTTCTCCATGTGTGTGGCCATGAAATGGTTACACCAAGGAGAAGTGCTGTGTGGTAAAATGATAGGAAAAAGGGGAGTGGAAGTTGGCTGCCCAGGCTCTACACCAGTTTCTCCACCATCTCTCAGCAACATGGAGCCCTGTCATAGGGTTGTTAAAAAGAACAAATAAATTAACACATGCAGAGATTGGCAGGTGCCTGACACTAAGCACTAGGGTAAGTTTGTTGGCATCATTGCCTACAGAAGTGTGGCATGGTGACTGGCCAGTCTTAACTCTTCCTGGGGAAGTAGAGTAAGATTTCCAATTCCTCCGCTTAGAATAGCCTGGGACTTTATATTTCTCCCTCCTCCACCTCACCCCACCCCACCTACTCAAACAATCAATGACAGTCTATGAAACAGACCCAAATTGGATCTCAAAATGAATTTGTTCATCTTTCCAAAATCTGAGGGGAAAGGCCCTTGTATTGACTTAGAGGCCTTGTTTACTCACTACAACAAAGTGTCATATACTCAGAGATGTCCCAATCCCTGGGGTGTGGTGGGACAGAAGCTCTTTACACTGAACAAATCTTATCCCTATGCCACAAAGCAGCCTTCAATGCTTAGTACACAATTCAAGAACTAGGAAAACAAATTGAATTATATACCAGGGTTAAACAGGGCCAGAGAGAACTCTTTAGTGACTTTTTAAAAAGATTAACTAAGGCTGTACAAATAAGAGTAACAGACCCAGATGCTAGAAAAATACTTACTGAATCTCTGGCTTTTGAGAATGCCAACTGATACTTCAGCCTTTAAAGGTTAGATCAGCACCAGTGGATGAATGGATACTGCATACAATTAACATTTGACTATAATACTGAATCTTGGGTAAGAGAAGCAATTTACAAAGGTATGAGGAAACATTAAAATGCCAAATATTTTAATTTTGTTAGAATAGGACATCTGAGAAGGGATTGTGGACCAGAAGAATGTGTCCTAGGAATAATATCTCCTCTGAAAATGGCAGGAATAGGAGGACTCAGCCTTCAGGTGTATGTAGGAGGCTTGGCAAAGGCCAACATTGGACCAATGAATACAGATCAACAAAAGACACACAAGGCAACCTAATACCATCAGGAAACTCCTTTGGGGGCCTCTCACAGGCCTCCAAGTCAAAAGTGGTCCAATCATTCCCAGTCACTGTGGAGAACATGTTTCACCAGAAAATTTAATAATCTAGAGCCTTCTATTAAAAAAAAAACTGTTCTGGATGATGGAATAAACATGGAGGATAAACTCCAATAGGAAATAAGAAGCAGATTTCTATAAATGATCAAAGACCAAAGCTAAGAGTGCATATAAATGGCAATGTAATTGTGGGTTTGATAGACATGAGTATCATTACTCCAAAATCTTGGCATCCAAATTGGCCTCTTCAAGAGGCAGATGTTCAATTACTAGAAATTTGACCCTATCTTAAGTGAAACAAAGCACGAGATGGGTTGAATGCATAGGACTAGAAGGACAGAGAGGAAGGTTGAGGCCATATGTGGCTAAGATTGCAGTGAATTTATGGAGACATGACCTGCTACAGCAATGGAATACCCAGATTAACATTCCTGCAGTCCCAGAAACTCATAATTCTGGAAAAAATATTATAATGTACTGTACACAAAAGTCACCAGCTATTGAGGCTGTACAAAAACACAAAGCAACTAGAAAACCTTTAGAGGTATCAATAGCCCTACCTTTAAAATGGTTAATTGAGAAATCAATATGGGTTAAACAGTGGCCATTAACAGAAGACAAACTGCAGACTTTAAAACAGCTTGTGCAGGACCAACTAAATGCTCACCATATTATAGAATATACCAGCCCTTAGAATTCTCCTGTATTTGTAGTTAAAAAGAAATCTGGTAAATGAAGAATGGTGACAGATCTAAGAGCTGTCAACAAGGTAATTCAACCTATGGGCTCTCTAAAATCTAGAATTTCTCTGCCTTCTCTATTACCAAAAGGATGGCCTTTTATAGTTATTTATTTAAAAGATTGTTTCTTCACTATACCTTTACTAGAAAAGGACAGATAAAAGTTTGCCTTCACAGTGCCTACTTATAATAATTCTCAACCTACTAGGAAAAACCAGCAGACCATCTTTCCACAGGAAATGCTCAATGGCCCCACCCTATGCCAATATTCTGTAAGTCAGCCATTAGAAATAATATGTAAACAATTTCCTAAATCTATAGTTTACCATTACATGGATGACATTTTGCTAGCTGATTCAAACAGATAATTTAGAAAGAGTATTTGTAGAAATAAAGAAAAGATCACAAATTGCTCCTGAAAAAAATACAGAGAGGAGATTCTGTCAGTTATCTAGGCTATAAAATAGATTTACATAAAATAAGAACACAAAAGTCACAAATTAAGAGAGACCAGTTGCAGATTCTTAATGACTTTCAAAGATTGTTAGAAGACATTTCCAGTCTAAGACCAGCTGTTGGGATAGTACCTAATCTAATAGTTCATTTAAACAAAACTGTAGGTGGTGACGAAGACTTAAACAGTCCCAGAGAATTAATAGCTGAAGCAGAAAAGGAATTGAGTGCTGTTGAAGAAAAATTACAGG